AGCACTTGTGCTTTAATTCATCAGCATTTTTACCAATAAACTTAATTGCAGAAGTTTGCCATGACTAGAATTTATGCAACATTAAAGATTTTGACAAACTTAAAGGAATCAATCATTGATATTCAGATGAATTTTTGTTTCTTCAACAGATGCTAGTTATGTGACAAGTTAATTTTTATTTGCAAGTAGAAATCCACACTCTAATAGAGATTGCGAAAATTAAAAACCAAAATAGCAAGGACCAAAACAAAAACATTGTCAAACATGCTAACATGAATGTTAAAATACCTTGTTTATCTTGTCTCCCTTGGCAGGCATCTCTAAACAGAAGCAATCTAATTGTATCTGCAAATCCCTTGTACGCAGCCCTAGTTGGAAGCACCAGAGGATTAAATTCTGTAACCCACATACGTGTAGAAAATACTTTAATGGTGTCAACTGAAATTCTACTATCATGCTCATCTTTTAAGCATCATAATCAACTAAATATTCCACACTCAAACTCATATCCAAACCAGCAAATTTAAAACATTAAATCATGTGATTTCCACTATTCAAAAGAAATGAGGACAACAGAAATTTTACATGGAACCCATATTTAGAGAAGGAAGAAGAGTAGAAAGACAACATTGCATACCAGTGCAAGGACAACTATTGAATGACAATCGGAAACTACTAATTATTAAAGAATCATGAACTGGATTTAACCTCTAGTGTCTGAAGGTGTTGTTATACATGAGATATCCAACAAAAAGTGCCTTAATATGTTAGAACTAACCAGACTAAAGTGTCTTATGTTGCCACAACAAAATTAATCTATAATAAATAGTGTTCCACATTTTTACCTTAAAATCATGATTTTGCATCTATATCTGATTCAACAACAGTAATGCAACCAATAAAATTACTGAAGCAAATATATCTGATTCCATAACAACAGTTTAACCAGGAATATTAATGACAACTTCATTTCAAAGAACGACACATTATGGTTGCCAACCAAAATGACAGAATATAGACGTAGATATATGATTTCATAAACCCTGGCAGGGATCTGAGTATATTGGAAAGAGAAGCAAATACTTTTACAAGTGATTTTTCCCATTGAGTTTGAAAGGAAAAATCAGGGGCAAAGGAAACAAGGGGTCAGAGAAATTCTGCAGCTTTACATTAGCTTGAAATTGACAATATTTTGAGGGAAATAAATAGTAAAAGCTAATGTTACCTACTACATATCCTATCCCTAGTTTTAATTAAGAAAATTGAGATTAAAATTGGTACCAAGTACAAACATCATCTCTCAATTCAGTGTCCTTACAAAATACAACATATAAACTTTTACTCATCTTGATCTTGCTCAATTTTTCTCTTTTCCCATTTCCAGTTCCATACCAAGTGTCAAACATCATGCATGCTAAATAAAGTGTAAACCCCATACGATTGACAAATAAAATCTTGAGAGTACATTAATAAGACCAATATAATATCCCAAGAACCAAATGTAGAGTTAGAAGCTCCATCCTTATAAACCTTGAAGTATAATGTATTCTGGAAAAATATACATAGAAAGGAAAGGAAAAAAAGATAGATCAAGATCCTAATACACATGCACAATGTTTGATTTGAAATTCAGCATGAATAACAAATCCCACAACAGTGGTTTGTCCTTTAGCAACACAATCTGGCTTAAGCATCAGGCATTTTTTTATCAGAGTTGGATCTATATTACAGCAAATAACATTTATATTGCCACACTAGGACTAATCACATTCTACTTGTACTTTGCTGATATTGACTTCATAGAGCTCCATCACATCACGGAAACTACATCAAGACGGATTCTATTGAATAATAAAAATATCATGGAAACTTGATGTTGTTGGCATCTCTTTCACATACCAATGAAGTGGACTCCTTCCGTCATTATCTGGTGCATCATAATCAGCATGATACTTCGCAACAATGTGATTTAAGAATGCTGTTTGTCCATGCTGAGCTGCAACATGAACTGCCTGCAGTAAACATACTGAGATTCAAAGAAATGAACTCAAGAAAATTTAACTACCTCCCATATACATTTGAAGCAAGATATTGATCAGCAATCCATACACCAAGGCTACAACCTCAGGAACAACAGATGTATGTTATGAGTTTGTGTGATATATATACATATAAAGAGAGAGAGCTTTTGTGTGTGTGTGTGTGTGTGTGTGCGCGCGCGTTTGAACCAAGATCACCCAATTCTAGGCTCACTAGGCAGCTGTGCATCGAACCATAACTATACCACTACAAATGTTTCTAGTGCTGGGATAATGCAACAAAAAAAGCTGTAACCCTTGACTGGGCACATCCACTTAATAGAAACAACCCCAGGATCCAATGCACTAACAAAGGCAACAGAGACTGAGTGGTTTTACCCCTATTCAATCCATCATGTTAAACATGACGTAGACATCAAACATTTTTATAATGCTTTTTCTCCTGAATTATTCTGACCGTATAGGTTGGCTATCTTTGCCGATAACACAAGCGGGATATAAATCAGATTATAAATTACTCGAACTATTTTGTAATGAAAGCTCAACAGCTCAATGTGAATTGATTAAGACTAAAACCACTTTGCCAAATGTGTAATAACTACCTTCAGGATATGTATATACATAAAATATACGTGTGCACATGGTTCACTTACAAACTACAATGCCTTGCCATCTTTATGCCTAAACTCTTCGCCATTTGTACCCAAAAAAAAAAAGGGCCAAAAAATCGATACAACTGATCAACAAGATTGCAGGCGCTTTTATTTTCATTCTTTACATGCTTCTGATTTAACAGACACTGCTTTGACTTTATTTCAACCACTACTTCGACATGCATTATAATTTCAAAAATAAATACCCGATAACCATGTACATCAACCGCTTCAACACGTCCCCCATTCTGCAATAACACATCTGCAGCCGCAATCGAACCCCGAACCGCCGCCCAATGCAGCGCCGTCTGCCCCCCATTATCAATGGCATTCACTTCACCGCCATGCTTCAACACCAAAACCAAGTTCAACTACATTTCCACAGCAAAAAATTCGAATACAACAAAAATCATTCAAATTCTAGTAACCAATAATACCTCGATTATATATTGCACCACATCGGCAAAATTGTTGAGAGCAGCCCACTGAAGCGCGTAAAACCCACTACCGTCCGGTTGAGAGAGAGAAGCACCGCCTTCTTCAACGAATTTTCGCAATTTCTCGAAATCTCCGTAAGCCGAAGCAGAGAAAACGTCGATTATAGGAACCTCGCTAGGGTTTTGTCCAGAATTCTTCTGGTCATTGGAATCTGCCACGATTTCGATCTCCGAAGAAGCCATTTCGCTACCACCAGCGTTGGATTTGTACCGAAAATCAGAGTTTCGAACGAGCTAGTGTTGAAGATTACTTCAGTTTTTGGTAATGGAAGTAGTGTTTAGGGATTATATACATAGTCTGCAGCTACAATTGACTTTGGAACACGGGGTTTATTTATTCAAAGAAGCTTCACGCGCTTTTTTTTTATTATTGTATTTAGGGCTTTTCACATTTTGTAGGTTTTAAAATTCTCATTTTTTATCTTTAAAAATTAAATTTTTTATATTATATCATTAATATATTAAAAATATTACAATATAATTTTTTTTTAGTTTTTATTATTTTTTTTGTCAAAATTTAACTCATAACTACTAACGAAAAAACTAACAGAAAAAATGTCACATTATAATATTTTTAATAAATTAAAGGTGTAAGTGTAAAAAGTTTAACTTTGAGTTTATAAAGCGACAATTTTAAAATTTTTTAAGACATAAAATATAATTCATCCTTATTTTTATTTTAACTCCCTCAAATTTCGTAAGAATTGAAGTATACTTCAAATTTATTTTTTTTTTAAAAGAATTTGGAAATACTTTTGCAATTGATCAAATCTATAAATATGCACAAATCTTGAGCATTGAAATTTTATAAAAAAAATTGGAGAGTCAAACCCATTATTCTATCAAGAAATCATTATTTCTTATATGTGTTTGGTGGGTAATAATGAAGTATTATGAGAATAGAATGACATTACTAATCATTACTTAGTAATGTTCATTTTAATGTTTGGTATGCAAGAATGAAAATTCATTCGCACTCTTATTGAATATCTATTTCCATCAATATATGATTTGTCATTCCTTAATATTCAGTATTATTTCTCATTTCCATCTACCATCACTTGTCACTACCACCACCCCCCTCGGGTCGGGCCTAGGTTTGAGTCAAGTCAAGTTCGGGTCTAAAGATTTTTTAAATATTTATTTATCTAAATATTTGAATTAATTTTTAATTCTACTTCAACGCTTAATCCTTATTATTGCCGAACATTAGAAAGATTCCCACCTTGATTCTATGTTCAGTCTGCGTACATTGTCTTATTAACCTTGGTGTAAAGTTTCTTTGATAAATAACTTTAGTTGACTCGACCTTTACTATCAGACCATTTACTCATACCTCAATGGATGGGGCGGGAGAGAATAGTAAATTTCATGTATTGCACGAATCCGAATTCATCTATGGTTACTATTTTGTCATTTATCTAGGTATTAATTCAACGATTTTGTTCGATATTTTGTATCACATATACATCTAACTCTCTGCAAACTCAATCAGAAAGAGAGAGAGAGAGAGAGAGAGAGAGAGAGAGAGCAAATGGAAAGAAGAAGGGGGCAAAATCGTAATTCCAATTGAAAATGGGGGGGTGAAAACAGACAATACTATTTAACTGTGCGCAATATCTGCTAAATAAGATCAATTGCAGAGTTTTTTTTTCATCAATATAAAAGAAATCTCTAATCAAACGATTTAACCATTATTTACAAAGGAGAAAAAAAAAAAAAAAAAAAATCACAAGGAGAGCATGTACATCATTTTTTAATATCAGTCCCAGCAAGAATTGGTTGATGACTTGTTCCTACTGGCAAGGAAATTAGGGTTCTGCTAGAGACATTCTTCTTTCTGCTGCCTTCTCTTCAAGTAAAGGTGTTGTGTTCGATTTGTCGAACATGGCGTCCGGGTGCTCGCTATCTTCATTGGATCTGTCCACACTGTGAATGAAGATCCCTGCCAAAGCAAAAATGGATTCCAAAATTAAAATTTTACCAGTCGATAGGTAGGTTAGAAGTTCACCGCGTGCTTTGGCAGTTTGAAGCACAAAAAAATTAGGTCAAATTATATTTTGACTCTCTATGGCTCGAGCAATTGGCAATCTATCTCGCTATATTTCAGAACCCTACACTTCATCTCGAGTTTAGTACTAAAGTGTGCAACACCTAACAGTGTTAACATTACTTAACAACTCAACAAAAGAAACAATACCATTCATTTTGCAATTTTTTTAGTATATTTGTACCTAAAATTTATGTACAATTTGAAAAATCAACTTAAAGAGTATTGAAAGGGAGGAGATGCAATCTTTATAAATTGCCCTAAAAATTGGTCTGCTTCAGTATATGATAAGCTGCATTATTCTCAATGTATTATTCTTCCTTGCGAAGGTTCTACCTAATGACCAAGTGTTAGATTTGGATGTTATTCCAAAATAAGGACACACATGAACGTCATTGATGATACCTTTTTTTTTTTAATTTTTTTTTTTGGGAAGGAGAAGGGGAAGAGGAAGGGAAACTTAAAACCTTAACCTCAAGAAAATAAAGCCTTTACAAGACAAGAAGTACCATTGGACCAAAGGCCCATTAGTATTGATGATACCTATACACCATATTCCAGCTGCCAGAAACAGAATAGAAGTTAAAATCAGAGCAGTCTCCCTCCAGTTGTTGACATTATCCTGCAGGATTTGTTCAACATAAGGTGGCTATTCAGGTAAAGATCTAAACGCAAACAAAGTAAAGTAGCAACTTTCAATATCTAGAAACCCTGAACAAAGGTAAATTAAATGACAAGTAATGAAATAACAGGAGATTTAAAACAATAGAATCTGACATCATGAACATTTTTTCTAATGGAAAACAAATCGTTATCAATTGCAAAGTTAGTTATTTTAGCCAAGTCTAGACTTGATGCAGCTTCGAGTTAAATTAGAGAGCAATAGCAGACATGTGAGCGAGTTGTGCCTACTATACATGTCCACACCATTGAGGGGATATAAATATTCCTCAATTTTTCATCCATCAAAAAATTTGAACACTTGAGAGGACATAGAAATCCGTTTTTCCTAAATTTAATATAAGAATCTTCACGAGATTAGTCATTGGATTGAGGGGTGTACTTGTACTTGCATATGCTTTGATGATTTAGACAAAAAAGATAAGAGAAAAGGCTTGAGATTAGACTCTATTCCTAGTCATCATTCTCTTTTACACACACAAAAGCCTAGAAACAAATCACAATCACTCAAACTCAAGCCTTTAATACCAGGACTTTGAATTCTTGATGAATTGATAACTGTCTCCTACTTACTCCTAACATTGCACATGCATCTCTAGCTAGTCAATTCATACATCATGTTGGAGTAGACATTTGAGACTGGTTATGGATTTGAGATCATATTGAAACCCTTCATTGATGTGTTATCATGCATTCCGTGCAGGGCAATTGAAATAGAAGGAAGTTACAGAAGCTGAACTCATGCCCAATGCTAAATGTTTCTTCTCTTTAATGTCTTCCTAAATGGAACACAAATGTCCATTCTTATCTTCCTAGAATTCGCATTTTTCCGCATATTGTTCTTCTCCTTCGGGGTTTGCATTTCTGATTTACACAGTTTAGCATTTACAAATGTATGCACTCAAACCATATATATATATTTGGGACTTAGAAATATGATCATGTTGCTGATACTGTAAATCTATTTCATCAACCTTGTTATGTATTTAAGTCCTTGCTCTAAAACAATCTCAATGCAGAATTGTTTTTGATGTAATAATGATATTAGTAGCATGAAATCGTTATGAGACTATTAACACAGATTGTGAAATCCAAGGGCGCGTTTGGTTAGCTTCTGCAAAACAATTTTTTATTCTCAAATTTTCAAAAACACCAAAAACTTGTTTGTTTAGCATTTTTGTTCTCTAAATTTTGGAAAAAAAATGAGATTTGAGTCAAAGAAATAAAAAACAAGTTTAGCTTGTTTTCAGAGATTTCTTTGAAAATTTTGAAAACAAGGAGAACAATTTTGGATGTTTAGATATGGGTATTTATATATATGTATATATATATTATAAAATTGTCAACATAAAAATAATTTTTTTATATTTTTTTATTAATGTGTGAATTATTGCTCAAATATATATTTAGGCTGTCCAAATAGGTTTTATTATTTTCTGTATTGTAAAATTATTTTTAAAATCATCTAACCAAACAATTTTTTTATCTCAAAAAATATCAAAACCACTTTCTTAAAACTCTTCTCAATAACTGTTTTCAGATACTATTTTTTGAAACACAAACCAAACAAGCCCCAACTTTTCTCTTTTTTTTTTGATTTCCCACCTTTTTTCCAAGGTAAGAGAGATAAATGTCATGGCTTCAATATAGCTCTCCTTTCTGCTTATGTGGAGATGAATAAAACTCCCAAAATGCACTCATTGAACCCTCGTAAGCCCCCAGTCTATCCATGACATGAGATTAGCCTACCCCATAAAATGTGCAGATTGTTGACTACATGGTGGCCACTGGCCAGTGCCATTAAAATGAAAATTGAAATAAGTTTGCAACAAAGATATTAACATGTCTGCAACACGAATTAGCTGAACCGTTTTCAATGATAAGCTAGAGAACTACAAATACAAACCTGGAGAACCCCAACAAGTGGGGAGGAAGGCACATCACCAAAGATGTGGATTGAGACAGTAGACATTGCCATAGATAGAGGTCTAAGACTTGGTTTAACACAATGCAGACATACAAAATTTACAGGACCCTGCAGTGCCAGATATAGAATGTTAAGTCCATCAATACCAAGCGAGTATTTGGAACAGTTGAATTACACAGAATAGTATTTCACTAAAAACATTGGCAAAACAGAAGTGGGGGGGATAGAATATATCATGGCAAGAAGAAACTCGATTGCTGTGAGACAATCAAACAAGTTGTAATTTACACAAATCAACAGGTCATGTTACACCGCTAATTTCAGGTAACTAAGAAAGAGCAGCATCATCTTGTACCATTTTAAAAAGTATAATTTCATTGATCAATGCTGGGAATTTTTGGAGTGGATTGGTCAATGGTGGGATATGACAAAGAAAAAAGGGGGGGAGAAGAAAGTTATACATTGTCCATGTTGTCAGCGACAAATATCCAATAGAAAGTATGCCAAGGAACACAGCATACAATACACAACGCCAAAGTGACGTAATGAAAGATGCTGTCAAGANAGGGGGGGGGGAGAAGAAAGTTATACATTGTCCATGTTGTCAGCGACAAATATCCAATAGAAAGTATGCCAAGGAACACAGCATACAATACACAACGCCAAAGTGACGTAATGAAAGATGCTGTCAAGAAGCAAGAAACAAACAAAGTGAAATTTGCAGCAAATGAATGAAATGCATTGCATTGCTTATAAACAAGATGCAAATCATTGAGAATTCATAATTGACAATGGAAACAAAATTATCTTTGCAGGAGAGAATGCAACACCATTTTTAGGCAGGTTAATATTATGAGGAATACAAAGCCACTTCCTAGTAGGCAACAGACTTCTACACCACCACATCACATAATCCATGACATGTTTAGCTAATTGGACAACAGCTCGGCATCTCTACAAGAAGACCAGTAATCAAGTGAACTTAACTGCTTACAGCGGTAGTGCTCATGAAGTGATTCATTGAATTTTATGTCATTGTAAACTGAAAGCATGCAGATGCAGTTGCAATATTGAAAAGACAAAACAAATATGGACAGCTTCTCAGCGCATAACCAATTTACCTGTGTAGCAAATACTAGTAGCTCCCCAATTGCAAAAAGAGCTATGAAAGCATACAGGCTCTTAAAACAAAAGGCACTAAAGCAAAATATTGCCCCCATAAAAGTTGCTGCAGAAAGAAGCTGCAGAAAGTGCAAAGACTTGATCAACGAAAACCGTAAACAAACTATGGTTATGTATTGTGCAAGGCCAATGGAACATTTATGACTCAACCATAATAAACTAAAGACTACACAATCGAATACANTGTTTTTGATGTAATAATGATATTAGTAGCATGAAATCGTTATGAGACTATTAACACAGATTGTGAAATCCAAGGGCGTGTTTGGTTAGCTTCTGCAAAACAATTTTTTATTCTCAAAATTTCAAAAACACCAAAAACTTGTTTGTTTAGCATTTTTGTTCTCTAAATTTTGGAAAAAAAATGAGATTTGAGTCAAAGAAATAGAAAACAAGTTTAGCTTGTTTTCAGAGATTTCTTTGAAAATTTTGAAAACAAGGAGAACAATTTTGGATGTTTAGATATGGGTATTTATATATATGTATATATATATTATAAAATTGTCAACATAAAAATAATTTTTTTATATTTTTTTATTAATGTGTGAATTATTGCTCAAATATATATTTAGGCTGTCCAAATAGGTTTTATTATTTTCTGTATTGTAAAATTATTTTTAAAATCATCTAACCAAACAATTTTTTTATCTCAAAAAATATCAAAACCANTTGAATTACTGCTCCAATATATATTTAGGTTGTCCAAACAGGTTTTATTATTTTCTGTATTGTAAAATTATTTTTAAAATCATCTAACCAAACAATTTTTTTATCTCAAAAAATATCAAAACTACTTTCTTAAAACTCTTCTCAATAACTGTTTTCAAATACTATTTTTTCAAACACAAACCAAACAAGCCCCAACTTTTCTCTTTTTTTTTTTATTTCCCACCTTTTTTCCAAGGTAAGAGAGATAAATGTCATGGCTTCAATATAGCTCTCCTTTCTGCTTATGTGGAGATGAATAAAACTCCCAAAATGCACTCATTGAACCCTCGTAAGCCCCCAGTCTATCCATGACATGAGATTAGCCTACCCCATAAAATGTGCAGATTGTTGACTACATGGTGGCCACTGGCCAGTGCCATTAAAATGGAAATTGAAATAAGTTTGCAACAAAGATATTAACATGTCTGCAACACGAATTAGCTGAACCGTTTTCAATGATAAGCTAGAGAACTACAAATACAAACCTGGAGAACCCCAACAAGTGGGGAGGAAGGCACATCACCAAAGATGTGGATTGAGACAGTAGACATTGCCATAGATAGAGGTCTAAGACTTGGTTTAACACAATGCAGACATACAAAATTTACAGGACCCTGCAGTGCCAGATATAGAATGTTAAGTCCATCAATACCAAGCGAGTATTTGGAACAGTTGAATTACACAGAATAGTATTTCACTAAAAACATTGGCAAAACAGAAGTGGGGGGGATAGAATATATCATGGCAAGAAGAAACTCGATTGCTGTGAGACAATCAAACAAGTTGTAATTTACACAAATCAACAGGTCATGTTACACCGCTAATTTCAGGTAACTAAGAAAGAGCAGCATCATCTTGTACCATTTTAAAAAGTATAATTTCATTGATCAATGCTGGGAATTTTTGGAGTGGATTGGTCAATGGTGGGATATGACAAAGAAAAAAGGGGGGGAGAAGAAAGTTATACATTGTCCATGTTGTCAGCGACAAATATCCAATAGAAAGTATGCCAAGGAACACAGCATACAATACACAACGCCAAAGTGACGTAATGAAAGATGCTGTCAAGAAGCAAGAAACAAACAAAGTGAAATTTGCAGCAAATGAATGAAATGCATTGCATTGCTTATAAACAAGATGCAAATCATTGAGAATTCATAATTGACAATGGAAACAAAATTATCTTTGCAGGAGAGAATGCAACACCATTTTTAGGCAGGTTAATATTATGAGGAATACAAAGCCACTTCCTAGTAGGCAACAGACTTCTACACCACCACATCACATAATCCATGACATGTTTAGCTAATTGGACAACAGCTCGGCATCTCTACAAGAAGACCAGTAATCAAGTGAACTTAACTGCTTACAGCGGTAGTGCTCATGAAGTGATTCATTGAATTTTATGTCATTGTAAACTGAAAGCATGCAGATGCAGTTGCAATATTGAAAAGACAAAACAAATATGGACAGCTTCTCAGCGCATAACCAATTTACCTGTGTAGCAAATACTAGTAGCTCCCCAATTGCAAAAAGAGCTATGAAAGCATACAGGCTCTTAAAACAAAAGGCACTAAAGCAAAATATTGCCCCCATAAAAGTTGCTGCAGAAAGAAGCTGCAGAAAGTGCAAAGACTTGATCAACGAAAACCGTAAACAAACTATGGTTATGTATTGTGCAAGGCCAATGGAACATTTATGACTCAACCATAATAAACTAAAGACTACACAATCGAATACAAATCCAAACACTGAGATATTTTTCGCAGTTTGCCAGGTATTTACATAAGGAGCTGCACAAACTGCAAAGACTTTATCAACACACCAAACATAACCAATGGATAGCATGGTGAAAGTTCAGTTGAACAATTATAACTCCACCACAATAAATAATGTTGTTGGCCAGGGATTTACATTAATAATAAATAACAATCTTACAGAAACCATTCCTCGTATCACTAGTAGGAATGCACTTCTTTGTAGTCAATGTGATGCAAAAAGTCAATAACATACATACTCTTGCAACAAGAGCCGGATAGCCCAATAAAAGCACAGCGCAAAATTGCTTAAATCTTTTTTTTGCCAAGAAAATTGCTTAAATTGAAATCTGCTTTTATGCAAAACTAAAACAAAGGAACAAGAAGATGGTGCTAACTCCAAACCTCAAATATTCCAACAAACCAAAGCCATCAAGTCCTGCAAAGAAGTAACTTTCTTCAACAATACTCTTCTTCGTGAGATAGTGAACCATCAATTATTCCTGGTGTGAAATTTAAATGCCTCCTACTACGAATCCCATTGCCCACCACGCTCTAGATATCACATTGCTACTAACTGGTTTTACAGACATTTCAAGAAAATATGGTTCGATAAATTTTTCTCTCACTTTCTTAGGTTTCAGATTTCTTATGTCTATACCCTTTGATTGGGCACATCCAGGTCAACATTGAAATGAAAACTTTTTTTTCTTCAGAAAGTAACATCCAAATGAAAACTGAAAAGCCAATAGTCTATATCTAATTGGTCCAGTACGCTATCATCATAAAGCTTCCTTTCTTGTTTTTTTGGAATTAATATCTCGAGACACAAAAGTTTTAGTTCCCAGGGCAAAATTGGNAAATAGTCTATATCTAATTGATCCAGTACGCTATCATCATAAAGCTTCCTTTCTTCTTTTTTTGGAATTAATATCTCGAGACACAAAAGTTTTAGTTCCCAGGGCAAAATTGGAAGAACTCCACAAAAACAATTCTGATAGAAGTGACAAACAAATAAATACGTAAGAAACACTCATTGCGCCCATTGTAAAGTATTATTGCTATCTGAAACATAGTTAGTTACTAAGAAATAACTGATTACTGAATTTCTTTTTAATTTGTAACAGATACAATAAAAGATTAAAAAAAATAGAAAAGGAAAAACGAAAAGGGGGGGGGGGGTACTTATTACTAATTAGGTTTAGAGCAAGTGAGCTGACATTGACACATTTTGGATACGGAACATCCATACTGACTGGACCATACACAAGATGTACCAAGGTATTCACAATAATGAGATTCAAATTAATAAGCTCCAACAAACTAGATTTAAAATTAATTACCTTCACCATAGTGTTAAATACAAGAGTGCATACCTTAAATGNAGTTTTTGATGTAATAATGATATTAGTAGCATGAAATCGTTATGAGACTATTAACACAGATTGTGAAATCCAAGGGCGCGTTTGGTTAGCTTCTGCAAAACAATTTTTTATTCTCAAATTTTCAAAAACACCAAAAACTTGTTTGTTTAGCATTTTTGTTCTCTAAATTTTGGAAAAAAAATGAGATTTGAGTCAAAGAAATAAAAAACAAGTTTAGCTTGTTTTCAGAGATTTCTTTGAAAATTTTGAAAACAAGGAGAACAATTTTGGATGTTTAGATATGGGTATTTATATATATGTATATATATATTATAAAATTGTCAACATAAAAATAATTTTTTTATATTTTTTTATTAATGTGTGAATTATTGCTCAAATATATATTTAGGCTGTCCAAATAGGTTTTATTATTTTCTGTATTGTAAAATTATTTTTAAAATCATCTAACCAAACAATTTTTTTATCTCAAAAAATATCAAAACCACTTTCTTAAAACTCTTCTCAATAACTGTTTTCAGATACTATTTTTTGAAACACAAACCAAACAAGCCCCAACTTTTCTCTTTTTTTTTTGATTTCCCACCTTTTTTCCAAGGTAAGAGAGATAAATGTCATGGCTTCAATATAGCTCTCCTTTCTGCTTATGTGGAGATGAATAAAACTCCCAAAATGCACTCATTGAACCCTCGTAAGCCCCCAGTCTATCCATGACATGAGATTAGCCTACCCCATAAAATGTGCAGATTGTTGACTACATGGTGGCCACTGGCCAGTGCCATTAAAATGGAAATTGAAATAAGTTTGCAACAAAGATATTAACATGTCTGCAACACGAATTAGCTGAACCGTTTTCAATGATAAGCTAGAGAACTACAAATACAAACCTGGAGAACCCCAACAAGTGGGGAGGAAGGCACATCACCAAAGATGTGGATTGAGACAGTAGACATTGCCATAGATAGAGGTCTAAGACTTGGTTTAACACAATGCAGACATACAAAATTTACAGGACCCTGCAGTGCCAGATATAGAATGTTAAGTCCATCAATACCAAGCGAGTATTTGGAACAGTTGAATTACACAGAATAGTATTTCACTAAAAACATTGGCAAAACAGAAGTGGGGGGGATAGAATATATCATGGCAAGAAGAAACTCGATTGCTGTGAGACAATCAAACAAGTTGTAATTTACACAAATCAACAGGTCATGTTACACCGCTAATTTCAGGTAACTAAGAAAGAGCAGCATCATCTTGTACCATTTTAAAAAGTATAATTTCATTGATCAATGCTGGGAATTTTTGGAGTGGATTGGTCAATGGTGGGATATGACAAAGAAAAAAGGGGGGGAGAAGAAAGTTATACATTGTCCATGTTGTCAGCGACAAATATCCAATAGAAAGTATGCCAAGGAACACAGCATACAATACACAACGCCAAAGTGACGTAATGAAAGNATTACCAATTGGTTTTGGTTTGGATCATGAATGCTCTAACAATTTATATCAAAGTTTCAAGCAACCATTCGATGCCATGCAATGAATGGAATTCAACCCAAAAAATCAATGATGTACAGTTAATACCGAATAACCCTCATACATATTAAGCATAATGTGGAGCACCTTGAACTTTTGGAGCAGCTGTCAACCCTTTTTTCGATGCAGCAGGAGAAAACCCTGTATTCAAAACTGTTAAACAATAGCTGGAAACACAAACAGAATCACAGGAAACCAAAACCCAACTCAACATGCACCTTTTAACTGCAAAGGTTTCATAACAAAACCTAAAACAGCAAATGGAAGCATCAAAATTGCCTCCCCCCAGAATGCCCAACGCCAATTAAAATGACCTCCAACCTATAGAACATAAAAGAATGACCATAACTATTTGACATCCCACAATAACATTGAACATATAAAGGAATGTACAAAACTTGTAGCAGAAGAAAAGATGTTAATTCCTGCAATTGAAGTCACATGGTTGCATGCATTCGAGCGCTGAATCACTATAAATCCACAAATGATCTACAAGCATGGGATAATCTTCTGCTGGAAAGAAATTATAATTTGTAGCAGACAAAGACAATATACTTACCAAGCCACCATAAACGTAGCCAAGTGCAACTCCCGATGGTATACACATGTAAAATATTCCCAGCCACGCATTTTTCTGATACAAAGAGAGGGTGTAAATGGAAAAATACAATACAAAAAATCTAGTATAAAGTGCAGTNCTCACTTTCTTAGGTTTCAGATTTCTTATGTCTATACCCTTTGATTGGGCACATCCAGGTCAACATTGAAATGAAAACTTTTTTTTCTTCAGAAAGTAACATCCAAATGAAAACTGAAAAGCAAATAGTCTATATCTAATTGATCCAGTACGCTATCATCATAAAGCTTCCTTTCTTCTTTTTTTGGAATTAATATCTCGAGACACAAAAGTTTTAGTTCCCAGGGCAAAATTGGAAGAACTCCACAAAAACAATTCTGATAGAAGTGACAAACAAATAAATACGTAAGAAACACTCATTGCGCCCATTGTAAAGTATTATTGCTATCTGAAACATAGTTAGTTACTAAGAAATAACTGATTACTGAATTTCTTTTTAATTTGTAACAGATACAATAAAAGATTAAAAAAAATAGAAAAGGAAAAACGAAAAGGGGGGGGGGGGTACTTATTACTAATTAGGTTTAGAGCAAGTGAGCTGACATTGACACATTTTGGATACGGAACATCCATACTGACTGGACCATACACAAGATGTACCAAGGTATTCACAATAATGAGATTCAAATTAATAAGCTCCAACAAACTAGATTTAAAATTAATTACCTTCACCATAGTGTTAAATACAAGAGTGCATACCTTAAATGCATTAGATATTGTGGAACCCATAAGGTCCAAAACATAACCTCCTGCTAGTGTTCCGAATACACCACACACAATTGTGATTCCTCCAAACATCATATCTGCATTGCTCTGCAAAGATCCAAATTTAAAATTTGAGAGAAAAAAAACACGCAAATGAAGATTTAGGTTCCTTATTTCTTTTCAAAAGTATAATAAAACACCAAATTTTGATGGAAAAAAAAAAGAAAAAGAAAGAACTACTATACTAAATCATATAAATAAGCAGCTATCATCTAAAAGGCTTTTGGGAGCTTACCATATGATATATGTTATAACCAGCCTTTGGCCCCCAATATGAATATGCACCTATGACAAAATTATATGCAATGTAACCTGCACACAGCCATTTGAAGTAGAAACATTAGTATGTTGAAATAAAGCACACATACTGCTGAAGTTAAAACAGTGTTGTATAGAACTGATTCTTCCCTAACTATTAGCTCGTTGATATACTAGCTGAGTTTTTCAAGATAAACATCAATAGGAAACAAATTTAACATTTGCACACACAGATGCACTAGAGGTGTAAGACCAAAACTTGCCATGGCCATCTCTCAAAGAAAAGAAGCTAGTTTGTAAGTGAAACAGATTGAGTGATATACCTAGGACATTTACAACGTAAACCTTCTCAACTGAAAGAACTTTCATATCTTTCAAGAATCTTGAGAACTGATTCAAAATACTGCCTGGATCTTTTGATCTGCAGTAAATATAAGTCCCAACAGGAACAAATCAGCAAATAAGAATTCTCACTGTTTGATATTCATACTGCATATCACTAAGAATTTATGTCTTGTATACTGTACAGGGAATCAAAATAGATGTTCAGCATATCTAATCGTAAGTAACACAAAATAGGCTCAGGGAGAGAGCCCCACCTGGAAGGTTTAGTTGAGCTTTGATCTGAGAACTCTTCCTTTGAGTGCAATGCACCGTCGTTACCATTTGGAATATCTGCAGTTATAACATGTATTAAGATCCAATTATGATGGATGGCGAAAAAGATTAATTTGGAAAAAGAAGTGCTTAAAGAAAAATTACTAAGAAAACCCAAAAAAAAAAACTCCAACGAGTATGCACTTGATTAGAATATACAAGTTGGAGATCAAGTGAAGAAACAATGTGGTGAACACACATCTTCAAGACCTACATTTGTTATTCCTTCTTGACCATAAGGGTTGTGTAAATTATTAATATTGTGATATGATTCTGGCATAAATACTAGTATTCCACATAGAATATATCCAGAAAATAGCAGAATCAGATCGTAACTTGATATAAGAAGTAGCTTTAATCTAATTTCAATACACTGACTTAGATCCCATGCTTTAAGCGCAATCACAGTTTTTCTTAATTTGAGAAGCTTATGTTAAGAGAGTGTATATCCCACATCGAACAATTAAGACCACCAAAATTTGTTTATAAACTTTATATACTTGAAGGACTATTCGTCCAATTAATAATTGGTCTAGGTTGGATGCTCTAAAATGGTATCGGAGATGGGCTTTGGGTGGTCTCTTTGCCCATTTGTATTTCCCTATATGCCTGGTTGTTTGTTTGTTTGTCTGTTTGTTGAACCCACGTGTGAGCCCAGGTCCCACGTGAGGGAGGGTGCTAAGATAGCTTGTATCTCACATTGAATAATTAAGATCACCAAGATTCGTTTATATAATTGAAGGACTATTCCTCCTATTACCAATTGGTTTTGGTTTGGATCATGAATGCTCTAACAATTTATATCAAAGTTTCAAGCAACCATTCGATGCCATGCAATGAATGGAATTCAACCCAAAAAATCAATGATGTACAGTTAATACCGAATAACCCTCATACATATTAATCATAATGTGGAGCACCTTGAACTTTTGGAGCAGCTGTCAACCCTTTTTTCGATGCAGCAGGAGAAAACCCTGTATTCAAAACTGTTAAACAATAGCTGGAAACACAAACAGAATCACAGGAAACCAAAACCCAACTCAACATGCACCTTTTAACTGCAAAGGTTTCATAACAAAACCTAAAACAGCAAATGGAAGCATCAAAATTGCCTCCCCCCAGAATGCCCAACGCCAATTAAAATGACCTCCAACCTATAGAACATAAAAGAATGACCATAACTATTTGACATCCCACAATAACATTGAACATATAAAGGAATGTACAAAACTTGTAGCAGAAGAAAAGATGTTAATTCCTGCAATTGAAGTCACATGGTTGCATGCATTCGAGCGCTGAATCACTATAAATCCACAAATGATCTACAAGCATGGGATAATCTTCTGCTGGAAAGAAATTATAATTTGTAGCAGACAAAGACAATATACTTACCAAGCCACCATAAACGTAGCCAAGTGCAACTCCCGATGGTATACACATGTAAAATATTCCCAGCCACGCATTTTTCTGATACAAAGAGAGGGTGTAAATGGAAAAATACAATACAAAAAATCTAGTATAAAGTGCAGTGAGGAGCATAGTGCTCTTTTAATCACAATAGATGTAGAGATTCAAACAAGACTGAGGTTAGAGTATACCCAAAGGCAACATAGATTTTGAGTAGGGAGAATGAAATTTGGAGTCAAGATGAAAATCTCAACTTGCTCCATCGCTCTGAGCATAACAATAGAGTGAAGGAGCAAGTTGTCATATACAAAAACATGGATGGGAAATCAACAGAAATGCTCAGTTCAAAAAAGGAGTAAGATATATCCAAAAGTGACGCCATCCAATGGCTACATCACACTTATTTCCAAGGATCAAAATTTTGTTTTGGTACATTTTTCGGTCATTTAAGAAATGAAAATGAATGGAAGCGGAAAAAAAATTTAAGAATATATTTTCAGAACATTCAAAAACATTGGTTGAAAGATATCGAAACATTCCCAAACACAGGTGAAAACATGCTAAAACCACTTGAAACATTCCTAAACAACTCGAAGCATCGGAATTTCGATTCAATTATTGATTAAGTTTTGGTATCCTTGAAAACAGAAACGTTTCGGTCATTTGATCCTTGCTTATTTCATACCCATAAGAAGAAAAAAGAAAGAGTAAACTTTATTCCAGAAAGGAGGTAGCTCATCTCTGAACAAAAACTGCCAAAGGAACTCATGCAATAAAGAAACAAACTACTTGAAAACCCCAAGCCACAACTGAATTATGGCTGAGCTGATTTGTCTCTTTTTTCAGGCTGAAAATCAATTCAAGCTGAACTCAATCTATCTTTAGCAACAAGGAGCCCACCTTGGCCCCATCTATTACATGTAAAATTAAGAACTTTATTTTGTCAATATAAGATGAATAAGGAAAAACAAACCTGAGCAACTGGAGCATTATCATCAATGAATGGAGCAGCAAGACTAATAAAAGAAGCCTCACCAACACCCACTAACCTAAAATGAACAAACATAGAAAGGAAGAAAGAAAGTATTATGACCAGCAAAAAAAAAAAAAA